GATCCTCAAATATCTTTGTCCCAGGCGGAATTGCACTGCCCTTTCCTGGGGACAGGCTAAGTAATCTGCTCAGGTTTGCTCTTGCAGCTTTTGTTCCATGGAAGCTTTCCGTACAGCTTTGGAGGACGAGAATGAAAATGGCAGCCTCCCAATTTCTGGCCCCAGAGGAGCCGAAAACTTGGGGCCCGTGCCCTTCCGTCAGCTCTCAGAGAAAACCAGTCAATCATGCCTCTGGCCACACTTCTTGCTCACCTGGCCTGGGTCTGAGCATTCTCTGGCACACAACCCCATCTGGAGTTTCCAAACCCAGCAGATTCCTGCAGTGCACTCCCGTGGCACTCCTCCCAGGGCGAAGAAGGGGAATCTCCGAGATCTGCTGCTTGTTGGGTCCCTGCTCAATGAGTAGTGGCCCAGCTGTGCCACAGATCATGGTTTATGGCAACCCCTAGCTGGCAGCCTTCTCCTTGGCTGCAACTTTGCTCTGATACTTGGGATCTCTTCCACACTCAGGCACCCCTCATCTTTCTATGACCTGAGGGTCTTGAGACCACACTGTCCCAGCGAGGGTTCCACTCCCTAGCTTAGCCACGGGAGAGACCTCCCTCAGGGGAGCAGACTTCTAAAAGTTCCAATTTTGTGCTCCATTGCTCTATCACTTGCTAGGAGCCGGCTGATGAAGGCTCTCTCCCCCTGCATTCTGTCTTCCCAAATACCACTTCAGAGTCACTTCTCTGCACATCCTACCTTCCAGAAAATGGTCACTCTTCTGTTTATAAAATTGCTGTTATTCTTTTCTTTGATTTCCTGTGGGGTTGCACATCCTACCTTCCAGAAAATGGTTGCTTTTGTGTTCATAAAATTGCTGCTATTCTTTTCTTTGGTCACCTGTTGCATTTGTAAATGTTCAGAATGGTTTGAGAACTATCTAGCTGAATTCCTGATACTAGACAAAATTTAGGTCTCCTACTCCTCCACCGTCTTGCCCTCTGCCCTCTGGCATTTTGCACTGTTGGTTAGTGATTTTGCCATTAAAAATCATCCCCTGGTGTACTGCTGAAATGCTATCTAATGTTCCAAAGTACAAGAAAACGATGATGTGCTTTACAGAGAAAAGACATGTGAGCTTCCTTCAGGCATAAGTGATAATGCTATTGACTATGAATTCAGTGTTAATGAATCAGTAGTAAATTAATAAGGTGTCTTTAAACAGAAACCCACATAAAAAAGGATTATGTATTGAAAGGCTGATAAAAATGTTGATGAGAGACTTGATAGGAATCTGACCATGTATTTTCCTTAGGAACAGTATTTCATTGCTCACTGCTTCTTTGTTTGCCTCAGCTTTATAGGACATTACTGCAAATAATGAGGATCCATCATACTTAATTTTAAAATTAAGTTGTTATTAAAAGTTAGCAATTAGACAATTATCAAAGTATGTGTTTATCTGATACCAGATGATTAATGATTTTGGGGTAGTTGAGAAGAGGAAGGAAATGATTCACATGCATGCAGAAGCCATGAAATGTAGAGAAACAGGAAGCATGTTTAGTTTGGAGCCAAAAAGATGAGTTTCTTGGATTCTCCCTCTGACTTTTGTGCATATCAAAGAAAACTAAATCAGGTCCACAGGTCCCTTCCAGTTAAAGGAGTCTTTCATTCTTTAGGGTCAGTCAGGAAAAAAAAAGGGTCATATGACTAAAAATTCGTGCTTACCACTGAAAATTAGGGAATAATCATTAGGGGAGAAGAAAGCCCTATTAATTCTAGATTGCCGATGACAACATAGAGTTGTATATAATGAGAAGCACTATTGCATAATTAATTTCTTTGCCTTCTTTACATTTGATATACCCTGAGGTCATAGTACTTACCCTTAAACACCAAAACTCTAGAACTAATGATTTCAGTGGACCACTATACTCATGTTAGTGAACTGGTTCTGACCTATGACACATGGACTTGTAGTAGTCACAAATATGCTTAAGAAACTCATGGAGAAAAAATTGATCATCTCATTCACTCATGTATATAGTGTTTCTTGTAATCATAAAGTATATTTACATGGTTAAGAAACAAAGAAAACATGCCCAGAAATCTAGTAATGAAGAAGAAATGGAACTCTGTCCTATCTCTCCCATCCTCATTCTTACTTCCCAAGAACATTATTTTTTTTTTTAAGATTTTATTTATTTATTTGACAGAGATCACAAGTAGGCAGCGAGACAGGCAGAGAGAGAGGGAAGCAAGCTCCCTGCTGAGCAGAGAGCCCGATGCAGAGCTCCAGCCCAGGACCCTGAGATCATGACCCAAGCCAAAGGCAGAGGCTCAACCCACTGAGCCACCCAGGTGCCCCCCAAGAACATTATTTTTAACTGTTACCTATTCTGTTATTTGCCTCCACATTATTGAGCAATATACTTAATGCAGTTATTTCTTGATTTATCAGTCTTGGAGCATATTTATTTCCTGCCATGACTTTATACCTGCCCATTGGTTATTAAGCTTCAGTATAGCTCTAGCACTAGCTTGTCTTTCAGTTATGGTAAATTTTCTACTTTCTTATCTATTTTCCTCTGTCTTCTCTCTCTTGAGTTTATTTTGTTAGTAAAAAACATGTTCTTTCATGTTTCCCTTTTTCTGAATGTATTATTTATTATTTCCTCTATGAGTCCTTTTGTGTGAGTGTGTGTTTCCGTTTTTCTGTTTGTGTCCCTCTCTCCTTGGAGGCTTTTCCCTTGTATCAATATTGTGGTTGCCCATCTCTAGTTGAGAGCAAAGTACTAAAATACGAGTTGGGAGTTCTGTGCATGATTAGGTACAAACTGAAGAACTTTACTTTAGGGCAGTGTTTCTTAAGCTACGTTTTCATTATCACTTCATGAAGGGGCATATTTAAGACATTTTCTTCTCCTAATTGCTGTCCTTTCTTCCCATGACATTTTAATGCCACAAGGACTTACTGTGTATGTTTATATATTCTGAAGGATTCAAATATCAGGAAGGGTTTGGGCCCTGTTTCTTCTCAGACTAGGCAGTTGCTACATCTGCTCTTCTGTCTATAGTCATTCTTTGGGAAAATAGGTTATAGAAAGGGATCACCAACCATTTACAGACCTTGAATTATTCTCCCATTTTATAGTCCTGAATAACTCCTGTCCTCAACTTAACTTGTGTGTCCTGAGCCTCTTCCTGTGTCAGTGAAGCAGATTAGCTCCTTTATGTACTCATCCATCCCCTTCTTTGAAGACTATAAACCTGTATGTTCATCTGCCTTACCAGTTCACTTAACATTCCTCTCATGTTTTGAGTTGCATAATTTTATTAATCTGTAATTTAAATTTTAAATAAGAGTACTCTCCATTTTTTTTCAAAGATTTTATTTATTTATTTGACAGACAGAGATCACAAGTAGGCAGAGAGGCAGGCAGAGAGAGGAGGAAGCAGGCTTCCCGCTGAGCAGAAAGCCCGATGCGGGGTTCGATCCCAGGACCCCGAGATCATGACCTGAGCCGAAGGCAGAGGCTTTAAACCACTGAGCCACCCAGGTGCCCCAAGAGTACTCTCTATTTTTATTTATTACAGTAATTTATCTGTTTTCAAATCTTTAACGGATGTTCATTTGAGACATCAGAATGGAAAGGAGGTAAACCCTGATGTTTGCTTTTCCATCTTATCTAGACATCCTTAATAGGCTTTAGCATTTAGCATTTTCACATATTCCTAGTTGATTTTTGGATCATATTTTTCTCTATAAAATATCTTTAACTCTTGCCATTCATTTATTTTAAAGTTCTCAGCCATGATATTATGCCCTACCAAGAATTCATTAATGTGACCCTTGTTTATCACTTTTATCAGTTATGTTGTGTTCATACTAGGTCAAGATTCAATACAACTTGTACAGGCAAGAGAATTCTTTCCTCTTTTTGGATTCTAGGTGTTAGAGAATTATGCTGAAGTAGGTATTCGAGCTTGCAGAGATCTCAGAGAACTTCCTAGATTTGTACTTTCTAATATAGTAGCCATTAGCCACATGTGGATATTTAACTTAAATAAAATTAAATAAAATTTAAAATTCAGTTCATCAGACTGACCGCATTTTGTGTTCAGTAACCTTATGTGGCTAGTGGCTACCGTCTTGGATAGCATAGATACAGAGCATTCCCACCTCTGCCAAAAGTTCTGTTGTATGGTACTGTTATAGGAAGTAGAAAGTGCAGCACCATTCTGTATCTTCCAAGAGATAACTAGTTTCTTAAGCCTCAACTTTGTAGGAGTTGCTTAATATAGTGAGTGTGTCGGACTTGGCTGAATAGGTATTAATGTAGGAGGAAAATGATATCTTAGAGATACCCGTGAAGCTTTAAGGAGAAAGTGCAAGTCATGGGACTAGCTATTGTCTAAGTAAATGCAAGAGACAGCCAGAAAAGCATCATCATAATTGTGCAATAATGCTCTCTTGTGTTGATTCAAAGAAAAACTTCAGGAGATTGAGAACAGTCCTTCAGAATTTTACTGAAGAATCTCTACATAGGCAACAAAATGCTGCTGATCAACTATTGTTTTGAGTGGGTATATGGATAAGCTATTATCTAATTCAGAATATTTTTCTTTTGTAGGTTGTTGATAATTTGCATTATATTTAAGTATGGCATATACCTTAGGGATGTAGAATAAGGAAGGGCTTTAGAAATTAATCCATTCCTGTGCTTTCATTTTACAGGTGGAGGAAACTGATGCTTAAAATAGGGAAGTAATTTATCTGAGGGCACACAGTTGTTGGGGCTAGAGCTAGCACCAGAACCAGCATATTTTGTGTTCATGTGCAGAACATTTCCTGTGGTACTATGCTGGTGACAAAGAAGGAATGACTTGACTCATTGTGTCCTCTTGAAAGCTTTAATAATCCACCTGTGAGGCTTAAACTGGTAACATAAACTTGAAGAGTATGTAATTCTGGGAAGTATGAATTTCATAATGTGTTTTTCTCTTTTTAGAACAACAATTTGTAATCTTTATACAATGCCACGAATTGGAGAGCCTGTCTGGCTTACAATGATGTCGGGGACTCCAGAAAAGAACCAGCTTTGCCATCGTTTCATGAAGGAGTTCACTTTTCTAATGGAAAATGCTTCCAAAAATCAGTATGGCTTTCTCTCTTTATATCTTAGATATTATGTACTATAACTTGATATCTAGATTTTGATCAAACCCAGTTACAAAAGCAAAGTAATTAACTTTTTTGGGAATTATTTCTTACTATTAATAACCAAAATAGAATTAAAAGATGTAAATAAGAGATAGGATATGGATGAAAGCCACAGAAGACAGTAAAATGAATGAAATGAATGAGAAACAGTAAAAAGGTCTTTAATTATGTGTTAAATTAGAATTCCTGACAACTTACAGAACTCTCTGAGGCTTCCCATTTTTTGGTGAATTGCATTCACTTACACAGTTTCATTCTAGAGAAAATAAGGAAAAAAAAAAGAAGTGGTGCGAGGATTCCAATGATACATATTTAATGTGATATTTTATCATACTATTTGCTTGTAACCGTTCATCAAATTCCTAGAATCCAAATGAGTAATTTAGAGGTTTTATTCTTTTTAAATAGACAAAGTTTGCTTAATACTTTACTTCGTTTTCCCATTCAGTAATTTGGAAATGTATAGTCCTGTTGCTTCATTAATTTTGCAGATTAAACACTGAAAAGAAACCAGTTTTTCAAGTAAAATGGCAGTTTTTGCTTTGTAATTAAGATCAGATACAGCTCTGTGTGAATACAGTTTTTATTTTAAGGATTTTTTTTTTTTAACTCCTACCCAACCAAAAACTGCATTTTCATTTTCATCCAGGTGATATGCCTGTCTTTTCTTCTTTCCTCTCCTTTTTTTATGCTGTTTGGCTACATGAGAGTAGGTACTGTCTCTGCTTTATTCTGTTGCTGCGTTTTGTATTAGGTTTAATGAAAGCAGAGTGGAGTCTGATAGGATGTATTTTGTTTCCAGATTCTTGCCAGCACTCATTACTGCAGTTCTGACCAATCATCTTGCCTGGGTTCCAACGGTCATGCCAAATGGACAACCACCTATAAAAATATTTTTAGAAAAACATTCCTCTCAGAGTGTGGACATGTTGGCAAAAACTCATCCATATAACCCACTTTGGGCACAACTAGGTATGTAATCTGAAAACCCTTATATTATGCATAACACTTATACTTTTGTGTAGCTGTCTGGAGTTATTTTATAGCAAAAACAAAAATTAAGAAATAAGATGTTCTTTTTTATTCCCCCCATTCTATTTTTTCCCCAATTTTAAAATTTTATTTTATTTTTATTATGTTATCTTACCATACAATACATCATTAGTTTTTGATGTAATGTCCCATGATTCTTTGTTTGTATATAACACTCAGTGCTCTATGCAGTCCTCACTCTTTAATACCCCATCACCAGGCTCACCCATCCTCCCAGTCCTCTCCCTTCTAAAACCCTCAGTTGTTTCCTGGAGTCTGTAGCCTCTCAAGTTTTGTCTCCCCGTCTGACTCCCCACCCCCCATTTTTCCCTTCCTTCTCTTAATGTCCCCTTGACCAGAAAGGACTTCCATTCTTATATTGCCCAGGTCTTTGTGTATGGTGTAAGCAAGTGGTCAAGTTTCATTCTTCTGTATATAGCTTCATTCTTCTGTTTATATATGCAGTTTTCCCAGCATCATTTTTTAAAGAGCCTGTCTTTTTCCCACTGGATATTTTTTCCTGCTTTGTTGAAGATTATTTGACCATAGAGTTGAAGGTCCATATCTGGGCTCTCTACTCTCTGTTCCATTGGTCTATGTGTCTGGTTTTGTGCCAGGACCATGCTGTCTTGGTGATCACGGCTTTGTAATATAGCTTGAAATCAGGCAGCATGATGCCCCCAGCTTTGTTTTTATTTATTAACATTTCCATGGCTATTTGGGGTCTTTTCTGGTTCCATACAGATTTTGGGATTCTTTGTTCCATCACTTTGAAAAATGCTGTTGGTATTTTGATTGGATGGTGTAGTATAGATAAAGTATAGATAGTATATATAGATAGTATAGATAAAGTATAGATTGCTGTGGGTAGCATAGACATTTTAACAATGTTTATTCTTTCAGTCCATGACGATGGAATGTTTTTCCATCTTTTTGTGTCTTGTTCAGCTTTCATGAGTGTTTTGTAGTTCCTAGAAATAGAACCTTTACCTCTTTGGTTAGGTTTATTTCAAGGTATCTTACGGTTTTGGTACTATTGTAAATGGAATTGATTCTCTAATTTCTTTTTCTCCAGTTACGTTGTTTGTGTATAAGAAAGCAACTGATTTCTGTTCTTTGATTTTGTATCCTGCTACATTACTTAATTGCTATATAAGTTCTAGTAATTTGGGGATGGAATCTTTTCGTTTTTGCACATAAAGTATGTCCTCTCTGAAGAGAGAGTTTTACTTCTTCTTTGCCAGTGTGAATACCTTTTATTTATTTTTGTTGTCTCATTGCTGCTACTAGTACTTCTGGTACTATGTTGAACAGTAATGGCAAGAGTGGACATTCCTGTCGTGTTCCTGATCTCAATGGAAGGGCTCCCACCTTTTCCCCACTGAGAATGATATTCACTGTGAGTTTTTTATAAATGGATTTTATGAAACTGAATCCCTATACTCTAAGGTTTTAATCAGGAAAAGGTGCTGTATTTTGTCAGATGTTTTTTCTGCATCAGTTGAGAGAACCATGTGGTTCTTGTCTCTTATTTATATGTTCTACCCCATTGATTGATTTGTGAGTGTTGACCCACCCTTGCATCCCAGGGATAAATCTCACCTGGTTGTGTTGGATAATCCTTTTAATGCACTTTTGGATTCTGTTAGCTAGTACCTTGTTGAGAATTTTGGCATCCATATTCTTCAGGGGTATTGGTTTGAAATTCTCCTTTTTGATGGGGTCTTTGCCTGATTTTGGGATCAAGGTAAAGCTCGCCTCATAGAGCGAGTCTGAAAGTTTTCCTTCTGTTTCTATTTTTTAAACAACTTCAGGAGAATAGGTATTATTTCTCCTTTGAATGTTTGTAGAATTCCCCAGGGAATCCAAGAGGCCCTGGACTCTTTGTTTTCTGGGAGGTTTTTGATCACTCCTTCAATGTCGTTACTGGTTATGGGTCTATTCAGGTTGTCAGTTTCTTCCTGTTTCAGTCTTGGTAGTTTATAGGTTTCTAGGAATGCATTCATTTCTTCCAGGTTGCTTAATTTATTGTCATATAGCTGTTCATAATAATTTCTGATCATTGTACTTATTTCCTTGGTGTTAGTCGTGCTTTCTCCCCTTTCATTCATAATTTTATTAATTTGGGCCCTTTCTCTTTTCTTTTGAATAAGTCTGGCCAGTAGTTTATCCATCTTATTAATTCAGGGAACCAGCTTCTAGTTTTCTTAATGTGTTCTACTGTATTTCTGATTTCTAATTCATTGATTTCTGTTCTAATCTTAATTATTTTCCTTCTTGTGCATGGGTTAGGTTTAATTTGTTGTTGATTCTCCAGATCTTCCAGGTATAAAGATAATTTGTGTGTTCAGGATTTTTCTATTTTTTTTTGAGCGAGGTTTGGAATGCTATGTATTTCCCCCTTAAGACTGCCTTTGCCATATCCCATAGGTTTAGGATTGACGTGTCTTCGTTCTCTTTGGTTCCCATGAATTGCTTAAGTTCTTTGATTTCCTGATTGACCTAAACATTCTTGAGGAGGATGGTCTTTAGCTTCCAAGTGTTTGAATTTCTTCCAAACTTTTTCTTGTGATTGAGTTCCAGTTTCAAAGCACCGTGGTCTGAGAATATGCAGGCAGTAATCTCAATCTTTTGGTATTGGTTGAGACCTGACTTGTGACCCAGTATGTGGTCTTTCTGAAGAAAGTTCCATGCACGCTCAAGAAGAATGAGTATTCTGTTGTTTTAGGGTGGAATGTTCTGTATATATCTTTGAGGTCCATCTGGTCCAGTGTGTCATTCAAAGCTCTTGTTTCTTTGTTGATTTTCTGCTTAGATGATCTGTTTATTGCTGAGAATGCAGTGTTGAGGTCTCCTACTATGAATGTATTATCAATATGCCTCTTTATTGTGGTTAACAGTTGAGTTATGTTGTTGGCTGCTTCCAACAGAAAGGGGAAGGGGGCATAGATAACTGTAATTGTTAGACCGACCCTTTAAGAATAATACAGTGTCCTTCTGTGTCTCTAACTACAGTCTTTAGCTTAAAATCTAATTTGTCTGATATGAGAATTGCTACCTTGGCTTTCTTTTGAGGTCCATTGGCATGAAAGATATAGTTCTCCATCCCTTCACTTTCAGTCTGGATGTATCTTTAGGTTCAAAATGAGTCTCTTGTAGACCACATATGTACGGGTCCTGTCTTTTTATCTAGTCTGCAACCCTGTGCCATTTTATGAGAGCGTTTAGGCCATTCATGTTGGGAGTGCTTATTGAAAGACAGGATTTTATTGTTACCACGTTGCCTGTGAAGTCCTTGTTTCTATAGATTGTCTCTGTATATTTCTTTCTGCATCTCTCTTGGGGACTTTCTCCTTTTATAGAATCCTCCCTCCCTTTAATGTTTCTTGCAGGGCAGATTTAGTGGTCCCTATTCTTTCAGTCTTTGCTGGTCCTGGAAACTCCTCCTCTCTCCATCCTTTCTGAATGATAGCCTTGCTGGATAAGGAATTCTTGGCTGCATATTCTTCTCATTTTGTACCCTGAGTTTGCCTTGCCAGCCTTTTCTGATTTTCAAGGTTTTTGTGAACAGGTCTGACATTAGAGATCTGACTGATGTTTCTCCCTCTGTATTTTTTTTTTTTTAAAGATTTTATTTATTTATTTGATAGAGAGATCACAAGCAGGCAGAGAGGCAGGCAGAGAGAGAGGAGGAAGCAGGCTCCCTGCTGAGCAGAGACCCCGATGCGGGGCTCGATCCCAGGACTCTGAGATCATGACCTGAGCCGAAGGCAGCGGCTTAACCCACTGAGCCACCCAGGCGCCCCCTCCCTCTGTATTAAGGAATCTCTTCCCGCTAACTGCTCTTAAAATGGTTTCCTTGGTTCTGAGATTTGCGAGTTTTATTATTACACGTCTGGGCATTGGCCTGCTCCTCTTGATCTTGGGGGGTGTTCTCTCTGGACATGAATGCTTGTTTCATTCCCCATATTAGGGACATTCTTGGCTACAATTTGGTCAGATATATCTCCTGGTCCTCTCTCTCTCTCCATCTCCCCTCACCCCCTGCCAGGGATCTCAGTAATTCTGACATTGGAATGTTTCATGGCATCATTTATTTCTCTAATTCTGTTTTCATGGATTGTAAGCTATTTGTTCCAGGTCTTCTCCTGATCCTCCTTTTTTCTCAGTTTGTCTTCTAGATCACTAATTCATTCGTTCTTCTACCTCATTTACCCTAACTGTTAGAGTATCTAGATTAGATTGTATCTCATTGATAGCATTTTTAAGTTCTGCCAGATCCACTCTCATTTCTGCCTTTAGCAAATCTATTTTTTGCCATTAATAGTTTTCTCCAGCCTGACTATTGTCTTTATAACTGCTACCCTGAAGTCTATTTCTGACATCTTGCTTAGATCATATAGATTAATAGATCATATCTGTTATATCTCCAGGAGAGGCCATTGTCCCTTGGACTTTTCTTTGTTGGGAGTTTCTCCTCCTAGTCATTCTGTTGAGTAGAGGGGATGTACAACCAAAACTATCAGCCACAGTCCAGGCAGGATGCACCCTCCCGACTGAGGATCCTCTGCCCCTATAGAGATCCAGACGTGTATAATCTTACATGTCAGGCTGATTTCATGGGTATTCAGAGTGGTTTGGTAGATTTCTAGCTAAAGTCAGGGGTCTGGTTGAAAAGGAGTTCCCGTACTCCTCTGCCATCTTGGTGGAACACATCCTCCATTCTAAAGCACTTCTTCTTTCCTTGTCCTTTTCATGCCTGCTAAATTGTCTGATCTCCATCTTAAGTCTAACATCAATTTCTTCTAGCTACACAACTGCAGTGAGAGCTAGAGAAGCAGGATCATGACTGATTCACTCATAACCTCAGGTTCTTTAGGGTGTTTTATGTTATGTACTTTGCCCAGAAAGAGTTAATCATGTTATCTATGATAGCTAGAATAAATTTGGTGAACTGAGAAGCAGTCATTGAGGTTTCTGTTTTCCACTTTTGCTTGTTTTTTAAAATAATTTTGGAAAATGTTTCCCTTAGTGCAAGGCCTTGTTAAATAAATGGGTAACCGGGTAAGAAGGGATAGTTGATGAGTTGACAGTCATTAGGAAGGCATTGTAGCATGGTGCTTAAAAGTGCAGGATATGAGTCAGACCACACGTGAGTCACAGTCTCTTTGTTTATAATTTGAGGATAATAATATATAGTACATACTTCATAAAGTGAAGACAATTAAATTAGAGAGTACCTGTAAAGTACTTAGAACAGTGTCTGGTAAACATGACTGCTGTTGCTCTTGCACTTACTCTATTGCTATTAGGTCATAGGGGAGGAGTCCAATGAGAACATTTTGATGACTTGATAGAAACCTCTCTTAGGTTGTGCTGAGTGAGCTTGCCAGGCAGGTTGTCATGTAACTTATTCATGTAACTTCCCTCCCCTTCTCTTTCTTTCCTCTCTCTGTCCCTCGTTTACTTTCTTCTAATTGAGGAATAATTGACACATACCGAACAAATATATATACATTTTTGTAAGTATTGATATTTATGTTAAAATATGAGTACCTCTGAAACAGTCACCAAAATCAAGATGATGAACTCACTCATCACTTCCAAAAGTTTCCTCATGCCCTTTTGTAACCCCTCCTTCCTGTTCTTCCCACTCTCCCTATTGACCTTCCAACCCCCTCCCCATACCCAGGCAGCTACTGGTTTGTTTTCTATCACTATAGATTAGTTTGTATTTTCTAGATATAAATGGAATTATACAGTACATGCTTTTTTTTTTTGGTCTGACTTTTTTATTCAACATAATTATTTTGAGATTTGCCTGTGTTGTTTGTAGTAATAATCAATGCCTTTATTTTGCTGGGTAGTATGCTGTTGTATGGATATTAATTTAGTTTTTTTCAAATCAAGTAATTCAGTGATATTTTATTTATTTGGACATTTCAAATTTATTTTCAGTTCTACAATCGTTTATTTAGTGCATAACATATATAAGGCACTATGCAAACAGCATTAGAGCATATAAAGATGAAATGCAGTTCTTGGCCTTAAGAAGTGAACAGTTTAAGGTGTTTGGGTGACTCAGTTAAGTGACGGCCTTTGGCCCAGGTCATGTTCCTGGAGTCCCAGGATCAAGTCCTGGGTCGGGCATACTACTCAGTGGGAAGTCTACTTCTCTCTCTGACCCTCCCCACTTCTCTCTCTCTCTCTCTCTCTCATTTTGTGTCTCAAATAAATAAAATCTTAAAAAAAAAAAAACTGGACAGTTTAGGGGCTCCTGGGTGGCTCAGTAGGTTACATGTCTGCCTTTGGCTCAGGTCATGATCTCGGGGTCCTGGGATTGAGCCCCTCTTTGGGCTCGCTGCTCAGCAGGGCATCTGCTTCTCCCTCTCCTTCTGCCCCCCTCCCCCACACATGCATGCACGCATGCTCTCTCTCAAATAAATAAGCAAAATTTCAGAAAAAAAAGTGGACAGTTTATTTTACTGAAGGTAATAAATATGAGGACAGTAATGATAAATCAAAGAGGAATTATAAGAGAAACAAAAAGTTCAGTGAAATTTCAGTTAGGGTAGCTGACTTTTGCACAAGGGAGGGTGCTTGGGTGGGAAGCTTTGGACTGGCAGAGAAACAGAGAATAGGGCAAGCACAAAGCAGTGCTGAGTTGCTTCAGTGTTCAGTTTAAGTAGTCTGCTTTAAGTGGGACTTAGTGCGAATAATGATGAAAAGGTAACTATAAAAAGATAAACCTGGAAAAGTAAAGTTGAACTGGTCAGGAAATACTTCTCATGTCAAAGCGGTTCATTTATTTGGTAATTTGTGAGAAACTTAGGAGTAGTTTCAAACAGTGGCATGATGGCATTAGAGCCAGTGCATTAATCAGAGGAAAAGAATTATCATAATACTGTCTATAGCACATATTTATCTGAGACCTATTTATGTCTGTTCCTTTAAAAAGCATAGGAGTTAGGCTTTAAAGTGTGTATACAGACAACTTGCTAAAATTGAATTAAATTTAAATTAATGACTTTGTGTTCTCTATTTTTTTAAAAGATTTTATTTATTTGACAGAAGGAGAGAGAGAGATCACAAGAAGGCAGAGAGGCAGGCAGAGAGAGAGGGAGAAGTAGGCTCCCTGCTGAGCAGAGAGCCTGATGTGGGGCTCGATCTCAGGACCCTCCTGAGCCGAAGGCAGAGACTTAACCCACTGAGCTACGCGGGCGGCCCAATGTGTTCTCTATTTTTAAGTGTAATTTGGCATCTTCATCTAATTTGAGCTATAGCATAAATATAGAAATTACATAGACAACTCTTAGGTTCCTGTCGCCCTTTTCTTATGTAATGGCTGTTGGCATCTAGTATGGATTCAGAAGTGAAAATGAACCACATGGTTAAAAGTTGCCCTTTGTTTTCCTCTTGGTCAGGATAGGTCTCACTTTTCTTGTTCTTTCTGGTCTTTTCTGAGTACCTACTTCTCTGGGAAATAGAAGGGCTTTTTAAAAACATGGGAACTAGTTTGGGGTCATGGGTAGGGCAACAACAGTTAAGGTTCAGGGATGTGATTTAATCAAGAAAGGTTAAGTGTGTGATATGATTACTCTGTTCTGTTCCACATTTTACTCCCTTTTCTCTCCTCCCTCCCCGTCCAGTAGATACTGTGCTTTCTCTTTTCTGCATTAGGTGCAGTAACAGACTTCTTTTGCTCATAGTTTCTTAAGTAGTACTTCTCCCTCAGTGAAGAGCTCTGCATGAGGCCTGGCACCGAGAATATTCTTGGTCAGTGTGACTTTCACAGTTGACTCTTTGGTTGGGTTTCAGAACCATAGGAGCTGCTTAAAGAGGAAATTAGAAAACCCCTCTATTCACCTTGCTCTTTGGTAAATACCATTTATCTCATCCCATGCTCCTGAATAGTCACTTACCTGTTAAAGAACTAAGAGTCAACCTGAACTAGCTCTCATACAGTAAGAGTAGGTATCTGATCATTGGAAATAGCCTGCTTGGCTATATGAGGAGAGGATATGTCCAGTAACTGATTTTTCCATTGCAGGGGACTTGTATGGCGCTATTGGTTCTCCTGTACGATTAGCGAGGACTGTGGTGGTTGGCAAACGACAAGACATGGTCCAGAGGCTGCTTTATTTTCTTACTTATTTTATAAGATGCTCTGAACTTCAAGAAACCCATCTTTTAGAAAATGGAGAAGATGAAGCCATTGTTATGCCAGGCACAGTAATTACTACCACTTTGGAGAAAGGTGAAATAGAAGAATCAGAGTATGTGCTTATCACAGTGCATAGAAACAAAAGCAGTTTGCTCATTAAAGACCCAGAAGAGACAAGGACTCCTAACTGTAGCTGTAAATATTGCAGTCGTCCGTTCCTTGGGCAAAATATAGAGAATGTTTCACAACAAGAGAGCGAAGATACTCAAAACAGCTCGAAGGAGCTGCTAGGAATTTCAGATGAGTGTCGAATGATTTCTCCCTCTGACTGCCAAGAAGAAAATGCTGTTGATGTTAAACAGTTCAGAGATAAATTAAGAACTTGCCTTGACACTAAGTTAGAGACAGTTGTTTGCACAGGCTCTGCTCCAGTAGACAAATGCGCCTTGTCAAAATCAGGCTTAGAGCCAGCAGAGGAAACATGGCATAATGAGGAATTGCTGGGTTCAGGTAATCACACAGGCAAAGTGTTGAGATCCACAGGAATGGTTGTGGAAAAAAAACCTCCAGATAAGCTTGTGACTGCTGCATTTTCTTGTGAAGCATCACAGACAAAGGTTACCTTCTTGATTGGAGATTCTATGTCCCCTGACTCAGATACTGAACTCAGGAGTCAGGCAGTGGTGGATCAGATTACCAGGCACCACACCAAACCACTGAAGGTAGAAGGAGGGGCTGTTGATCAGGAGCATCAAGAAACTAAACAGATAACTAAGGACCAATCCGGCAAGTCTGATATACCAAACGTGGTTTCTGGAGAGACCTGCAAACATCCCTGTTGGAATCATTCAGATCCAGAAAGCATGAGCTTATTTGATGAATATTTTAATGATGACTCAATTGAAACCAGGACTATTGATGATATTATTGCAGTTAAAACAAGTACAGACAGTAAAGAACACTGCTGTATGTTAGAATTTTCAAAAGGATTGTGTACAAAAAGTAGCAAACAGAAGAGTGAATTTTGTAAATGTGTAGAAACAGTTCACCAGGGTTCATGTAAAACCTGCTTTCCTCAGCAGGACCAAAGAGATACACTCTCCATTCTTGTCCCCCATGGGGATAAAGAGAGTTCAGAGAAAAAAATTGCTGTAGGAACTGAATGGGACATTCCACGAAATGAAAGTTCAGATAGTGCTCTTGGGGATAGTGAAAGTGAAGATACAGGTCATGATATGACTAGACAAGTAAGCAGTTACTATGGAGGAGAGCAAGAAGATTGGGCAGAAGAAGATGAGATACCTTTTCCTGGGTAAGTAGGAAGTTTTAACCTATAATAGACCCTATGTAAATATATATCATTCTTCTATTTAGATGAAGGTTGGTGTTAAGTAATATAAAACAAGACGTCATTGTCCTGGAGAGATTTTCTTCTATTACCATGTGGTTTTAGGGAAAGATTAAAGGCTAAGCCCCATAGTTAACCCCAGAAAGGTTATGTGAAGTCATTAAAGAAAAGCATATTTGTATGTGGGGGATACCTTACTGTTTAGGAGTTTTTAAGTAGCTTAAGAGTGACTTATGCCCCCAAATACGGACCTGCGCTGAGCCTGGCAACTAGAGAGGTGATCACAGAGAAGGTGGAAAGTGGCTGTTAGAAATAAATTTGGCCAAGACTAAAAGGAAAGCTATGGACCTGCGCTGAGCCTGGCAACTAGAGAGAGGTGATCACAGAGAAGGTGGAAAGTGGCTGTTAGAAATACATTTGGCCAAGACTAAAAGGAAAGCAGGAAATGTATACTGTGGGTCAAGTATAGAAGGAGAAGATTCGTATTTTAGAAATGTTATATTCCATGCTTTGGGTTTGTGATACATTTAACTACTTTGTTTTGGATGATGGTTTTCATTCTCTGATTCTATTAAGAATGTATTATATACACAAAGGACACCATTCTGGATGTCTCTTTTGAACGATTTATACCCGGGTCATTACAGAGTTGTTCATTCACCACCTTTTCTGGATAGGAAGGAGTATTTTGTGGTCTCATTGATCACTCAGGCCAATTTTTACTTAAGGATGATTTTACTCTGAGTATAGTTTGTAGAAAACAATGGTACTAGAAGTGTGGACTAGGAAGAGTCCAAAAAGTTTTTTATTGATAAAATGTTTATTAATAATTGGATATGCCTTGTTTTGGGACCTTTCTTCCAGGTCAAAGTTAATTGAAGTGAGTGCTGTTCAGCCCAACATTGCCAACTTTGGGAGGTCCTTATTGGGTGGCTACTGCTCATCTTATGTGCCTGACTTTGTTCTTCAAGGAATTGGGAATGATGAGAGGCTCCGTCAGTGTCTGATATCCGATTTGTCTCATGCTGTGCAGGTGAGTTACCTTCACTGCTCTTGTATTTACTTAGAATGAACTTTGTTAACTGATAGAACCAGTTTACCTTACATTTTTGGTTATACTTCACTATGTAACACAATCATTGTTCTCTTAATCTGTTACTTTTGCACGTGTGTGTTTGTACCTATGACCATGAGAGCAAGTAGAGAGTTCCAGGAATCTACACAAATAGAAATATGAAATACAGAAAGTATTGGATGTATTCATAGATGTTCATCATCAGATCAGTTATAATATCAAGAAAATTACAAATGCTTAAATGTGAATGTGGTTATTTTTTCATTTTCAGATTGTTCATTGCTTATATATACAATTGATTTTTTGTATATTGATCTTACATTCTTCTACCTTGCTGAACTCTCTTTCCTTTTTTTTTTTTAAGATTTATTTCTTTTAAAGAAAGAGGGTGCGTTTAGGGCAGGGACAGAGGGAGAGGGAGACAGAGTCTTAAGCAGACTGTGCGTTGAGTGTGGAGCCTGTCATGGCGCTCAGTCTCATGACCCTGAGATCAGGACCTGAGCCAATACCAGGAGTTGGGTGTTTAACCCACTATACCATCCAGGTGCCCCAACCTTGCTGAACTCTTTTATTCTTGTAGTTTTCTGTGTGGATTCCTTAGGTTTTTCTACATACACGTTCATGTCATTGATGAATAGACATTGTTGCATCTTCCTTTCCAATCTGGATGCCTTTTGTCTTTCTTGCCTGATTATATGGGCTAGATCCTTCAGTACAGTGTTGCAAAGAAGGACTAATAGTGGACATCCTTGTCTTCTAGGAGAAAATATCGACTCTTTATTATTAAGTATATGTTAGCTGTGGAATTCTTATAGATGCCCTTTATCAAATGGAGAAAGTTTCTTTCTAGTCCTAGTTTCTTTGTTCCCTCCACCTTTAAATCATGAATGGATATGGCATTTTGTCTAATACTTTTTCTGTGCTTATTTGATAATGATCATTCGGTTTTTCTTTCTTAATCTGTTAATGTGAGAGATTACATTAGATGTGGTAGATTTTTTTTTTTAAAGATTTTATTTATTTATTTGACAGAGATCACAAGTAGGCAGAGAGGCAGACGGGGGTGGGGAGGGTAGGCTTCCTGCTGAGCAGAGAGCCCAATGCAGGGCTCGATCTCAGGACCCTGGGATCATGACCTAAGCCAGAGGCAGAGGCTTTAACACATTGAGCAACCCAGGCACCCCGATGTGGTAGATTTTTTTAGACATTAACCAATTTGTATATTCTTAGAGAAAAAAATCTACCTGGTCATGGTATATAGTTCTTTTTATATGTTACTAGATATGATTTGCTAATATTTTAGTATGAATTTTAGGATTGTATTCATGAGGGATATTAGTCTATAGTTTTCTTGTGATGCATTTGTCTAACTTTAATATCAGAATAATACTTGCCTCATAGAATGAGATGGGGTGTGTTCCCTCCTCAATTTTCTGAAAGAGTTTCTGGAAGATTGGTACTGTTTTTTCTCCAAATGTTTAATCCAGTTCACATGTGAAGTTATTTGGACCTGAGCTTTTTAAAATGAGAATATTTTAAATTGCTGATTCAATTTCTTATTCTCGATCTATTCCAAGTTTTTATTTTTTCCTGAGTCAATTTTGGTAATTTTTGTCTTTCTAGGAATTAATTGCATTTAAGTGATTTATTTGTTGGAATAAAATGATTCATAGCATACATTTATAATCTTTTAATTTTTTTGAAAGATTTTATTTATTTGAGAGAGAGAGAGCAAGTGAGAGAGAAAGGAACCTGCGAGAGCACGAGTAGCAGGGAGGGCCGGAGGGAGGAGGAGAAGCAGACTCCCCTTGAACAGGGAGCCCAATATGGGGCTCAATCCCAGGACTCCAGGATCATGACCTGAGCCGAAGGCAGACACTTAACTGACTGAGCCACCCAGGCACCCGCATTTATAATCTTTTTAATTTCTGTAAGTTCATTGGTTATGTCCTCACTTTCATCCCTGATTATTGTAATCTGTGCTTTTCCTTTTTTTCTGAAACCTCCTATAAGTGGAATATTCCAAAGAATATTCATGGCTTTGTTAATAGTTATTTTTGTCCCATATGCATCAAAGATGAGTAGGCTGTGGCCCATGGGACAAATAGGCTTGCTTTTTTAAATTAGGTTTTATTGGAACATGACTACACCCATTAATTTATATACTTTGCAATTGTTTTCCTGCTTCAGGAGCAGAGCTAAGTCACTGACAAGAGACTTTATAGCCTCTAGAGCCTAAATTTTCTCTCTGTGGCTCTTAATTGAAGTTTGCCAGTTCCTGTCCTAGCTGAACGTGTGTTAATTTTGTTAATCTTTTCAAGGAAAACAACTTTCTTTTTTCTTTTTTTTTTTTCTTTTAAGATTTTATTTATTTATTTGACAGACAGAGATCACAGGTAGGCAGAGGCAGACAGAGAGAGAGGGAGATGCAGGGCTCAATCCCAGGACCCCGCGATCATGACCTGAGCCGAAGGCAGAGGCTTTAACCCACTGAGCCACCCAGGCGCCCCAGGAAAACAACTTTCATTTTCACTGATTTTCTCCATTTTTTTTGGTCTTTTTTTTTTTTTTCCATTAATTTCTATCCTCATCTTTATTATTTCTTCCCTTCTGCTTGCTGTGGATGTAGTTTTTTGTTGTTGTTGTTAAGGTGGAAGATTAGGTTATTAATTTGAAGTATTTTTTCTTTTCACATATAGGCATTTAATTCTAAATTGTCCTCTAAGCACTGCTTTAACTGAAGCTCATAAATTTTAATCTTTTGTTTTCACTTTTATTCTCTTCAAAATATTTCCTTATTTTTCCTTGCCATTTCTTTGATGCATGGGTTATGTTTTGATCTCCAGATATTTGTGGAATTCTTCGATTTCCTTTTCTTGATTTCTAAATCAGTTCCATTGTGGTCAGAGAACAGACTTTGTATGATTTTAGTCCTTTTAAATCTAGTGAGTCTTGTTTTATGGCCCAGCATGTGGTGTATCCTAGAGAATAGTTGAAAAAAACAGTTGCCTGTTGGGACGCCTTGGTGGCTCAGTCAGTTAAAGTGTCTGCCTTCGGCTGAAGTCATAATCTCAGGGTCCTGGGATCGAACTCCACATCGGGAGCCTGCTTCTCTCTCTCCCTTTGCGTGCCACTCCACCTGCTTGTGCTCTCTCTATCAAATAAATAAATGAAATCTTTAAAAAAAAATAGTCGCCTGTTGTTGGGTAAGGAATGTACAGGTCAAGTTGGTTGATAGCTTTAGGTTTCCGCTTTCTTGCTGATTTTTCCACAATCTTGCTGATTTTTCTGTGTAGTTACTGCATCATTTATTGAGCATGGAGTATTGAAGTCTCCAGCTTTTGTTGAATTTTCTGTTTCTTCAATTTCCATGTGTCATTCTAATAATTTTTAAAGCAAAATCTTCTCCTTTCCCCCTGTGAAAACATTAAAAAGGAATGGAGAAAGACAACTAGGAAATCATGGGTGAGAAAATACGGCTCATTGAGGAAGCATTCCCTTAATTATTAGCCAGAAGTTTTTTTTTTTTTTTTTAAGGTTTTTATTTATTAATTTATTTGAGAGAGAGCATGAGAGGGAGAAGGTCAGAGGGAGAAGCAGACACCTTGCTGAGCAGGGAGCCCAATGCAGGACTCAGTCCCAGGACTGTGGGATCGTGACCTGAGCCAAAGGCAGTCGCTTAACCAACTGAGCCACCTGGGGGCCCACGAGAAAGGTTTAAATGCCCTATGTTTGTAGTAAATTATCTTAAGTTGTTAAGTTTGGTGTTTTATTGTATAGTTGGGAAGTTCAGAAAAATCTAGATTAAAAAACAGACTTTGGAAGGAAAGTTACCAAAACTCATGTTCTTTATATTTAAAACCCATCTTGCTCAACTCTTTAACACCAGTTGGATAAATACTTACTGATATACTGTGTTCTGAACATGGTGCTGATAGTCCAAGGGATATATAGATGAAAAAGAAATAGCTTCTGATCATAAGTTATTTACTTAGTAATGGAGGAAGTAAGGGACGTATGTATAGGAGTAAGTGTAGTACAACATGTTAAAAAAAAAAATGCCTGAGGAAGATACTAGTAAGTAATTTAATGCTTCACAGGAAAAAGATTGTATCAGTTAATGGTATTCTTCAGAGTGTAACAACCTTTTCTGTTGTTTTTTTTTTTCAGTTCTGTCCTCCCATTGTCTAACAGAGTACTCAGTATTTGTTGAAATACTTGGTTAGGAAATCTGATGTGGGTCCTTGTATGCTCTTTGTGTCCTCTTGTCTTTGTTTCTGTTTGATCTCAGTCATTCATTTTATTCATTTTTCTCTCCATCTATACCCATTAGCACACGCTGTGCTTTTTTTTTTTAAGATTTTATTTATTTATTTGACAGACAGAGATCACAAGTAGGCAGAGAGAAAGGGGGAAGCAGGCTTCCTGCTGACAGAGAGCCCATTGGGGGGCTCAATCCCCAGGACCCTGAGACCATGACCTGAGCTGAAGGCAGAGGCTTAACCCTCTGAGCCACCCAGGCGCCCCCACACTGTGTTCTTCGATGTTGCTTCTGGAAGCCTGGAATTGGAAGGGGTGGCTGTTTCCTACTGAAGACAGAACATTTCAGTTTAAAGGGTTTTTAACCTTTGGAATAGGAGGAATAGTAACAGTAATAAAAAGCATTTGGTTTTTATTATAGCCTTAATGTGTGCCAAGTACATAAATGTAATACTTAATTTTATGGCACTTATTACTATCATTTCTATATTTCAGATATACCACAGAGAGGTGTTTCAAGTTATATTAGATAGGGGATGGCAGAGCTAGAAACCAATGCTGATCTGTCTGTTCTTTAGCAATACTCTTTAGCTTTAATATATACAGAACACTGTCTCTAAAACAGATGAACAAAAGTAAATGTAAATATAATAGCAAAATTGGCATTAACAAAGCTTGCAAGACTTTCATATTAGTAG